AGCTATGACGAGCCCCAACTCTGCTAAATGGCAAGAAGCCATGAAATCCGAGATGGACTCCATGTCTGAAAATCAAGTCTGGGACTTGGTGAATTTGCCCGAGGGTTACACACCCATTAGTTGCAAATGGATCTTAAAATTGAAGACAAACAAGGATGGAAATGTATCGATATACCAAGCTAGACTAGTGGCAAAAGGTTATAGGCAAGTCCACGGGATTGACTATGATGAAACCTTTTCACCAGTTGCAATGCTAAAGTCTGTCCGGATTATTCTAGCAATTACTGCATATTACGATTATGAAATATGGCAAACGGATGTCAAAACCACCTTCCTAAATGGGATTTTGGAAAAAACTGTGTACATGACATAGCCAGAAGGTTTTGTCGATCCGAGCAACGCTGGAAAGGTCTGCAAGCTTGAGAAGTCCATTTATGGACTAAAGCAAGCCAACAGGAATTGGAATATACGACTTGATGAAGCCATCAGCAAGTTTGGATTTATCAAGAATCCAGATGAATCTTGTGTATACAAGAAGGTCAGTGGGAGTAACATCGCATTCCTAGTCCTGTATGTCGATGACTTACTGCTTATTGGAAACAGCACAAAATTACTGGAGTCCGTAAAGGGCTGGTTGGGAAAGTACTTTTCAATGAAGGACTTAGGAGAGGCATAGTACATATTGGGCATCAAGATCTACAGGGATATATCTAAGAGGATTATTGGATTGAGCCAAAGTACATTGATAAAGTACTGGCACATTCAACATAGAGAATGCCAAGATAGGGCATCAACCCATGTCTCATGGCGTAACTCTCAGCAAGAAATAATGTCCACAAACACCTGTTGAGCAAGAGAGAATGTATCAGATCCCATATGCTTCGCTAATTGGGTCGATCATGTATGCCATGATATGTACCAGGCCAGATGTCTCGTATACCTTGAGTGCTACGAGTCGATACCAATCAAACCCAGGAGAGGCGCACTGGACTGCGAACAAGAATATCCTAAAGTACCTGAAAAGGAATAAGGATAAATTCCTGGTTTATGGTAGCCACAAAGATCTGGTTGTTGAAGGTTACATTGACGCTGGCTTCCAGACTGACAAAGACGACTTCAAGTCACAGTCAGGGTACATATTTTGCCTAAATAGAGGAGCATTTAGCTGGAAGAGTGCCAAGCAGAGCACAACTGCAGACTCTACAACTGAAGCCGAATACTTGGCTGGTTCAGAAGCTTCTAAGGAGGCTGTTTGGATTCGAAAGTTCGTAAGTGAACTTGGGGTTGTACCCTCCATCAAGGGTCTGATAGATCTCTATTGTGACATCAATGAAGCTAACGCTCAGACTAGAGAGCCAAGAGAGCACCAGAAGGTCAAACATGTCCAAAGGCAATTTCACATGATAAGGGAATGGAAATCCGAAGGTGAAATCAGAATTTATAAGATCAGCACGGATGATAACATGGTCGATCCTTTGACTAAACCTTTGCCTCAAGTGAAACACAACAAGCACGTTGAGGCAATGGGAATCAAGCACGTTGGAGACTGGCTTTGAAATTCCCTGTAGTTGTTTTAATGTGAGACGTTGTATTGAAACCATTCATTAATGAAGTAATTAATTTTTGAGCAAAATTATCATTCACTCCATTACTATTTAATTGTGGTTTAGATTTAAATAATGAGTCCATTCGATTTATGGAAATATTCAAAACAGGGTATCAAGACCATGTCTTGGATAAAGAAACACCTGTTAAGTGAACATTAAATATTTAAATCGAAAACTATCCCTAATCGAGGTCATCTAAATGATGGACGATCGATGACCACCAGGGATTAGGGTGTAGTATGATTTACAGCACCGTTTCTTGTGTTGCAAGGACATGATGGTCATAAATCATTTGCACAGGTGCCAGTTTGGAACTGCACTGGATCGACCTATGAGAGTACTTTAAGAGATTCAAAATTGCCATAAGTACATTTCTCATTATAAGCTATCGGAACTCGTTTCCTCGGCCATGAGTATTGTGAAGTTTTCTTGTTTGAGAACTAGTTTCTTTGATGTTTCCTAACATTTGCCGTAACTGGGTATCATAACGGGAACACTCGGGAGATTAGGTCCTCTTAGTGAGAGAAACTTATAATACAAGACTGGGAATGTCCCCCTATTAACAATAGGGAATATGCCTTTGTTGTTTACAAGGCCGCTCGATGAGCGAGACTGCGAAAATGCATGGCCGTGCTCAGATGGATTTTAAAAATCATTTGTTTATTGACAGTCGAACTCGGAGATCGAGAAACACATCTGAACGTAATAAGGATGACGATGAATCTTACCTTATAGTTCACGAAGAGACATTAAGCGACATAGGAAATGGGCTACACACTGCATGCACAGTTGTCCGGAAGGACAAGTGGGAGATTAAAAGGAATAGTATCCTTCCAACAAGTGTATTATTCTGATAGAGGGTTCAGAATTATTACAGAGCTAATTATTCAGTAAGGTCAAGTGATCGGAATTCCTAGGTGGAGGCCGCTTCCGATCAGTAATATTAAGGTACAATTAATACTACAGCTTAATCTTAACTGAACCCTTCAGGTCGAACCCAATCGAACAACCGATCCGAGACGACGAATTAATCCAAAGGATTTAATGAGTCGACAAAGTTTTATGAACAAAGACGTCGGATATTGAGCCTAGGGCGTCGAGACCGAGTGTCGCAAAATCACAAGCAACAAGTATGAGCGTGGCCGTAGCTAGGCTAGGCTAGCTCATCGCATGCCTAGGCGCACCATGTGTGTGCTAGGCGAGGCATGAGTGCCTAGGCGCTATCGCAACCCTAGCATGATGCCTAGGCACCATCGCTGCCCTTTCACACCAAGAACATCACCCATGTGTGTGTGCATGTGCGTAGGCACTATCGCAGCCCGTCGCACCATCGTAGCACAAGCGCAACACCATCGCATGGCTAGGCCTGTGCGTGTGTGCGTGTGCTTGTGCCTTAGCCTATCGCACCATCAAAGCAGCATGGCTGCGCACATGCGTGCCTTCGCATGGCACTACATCGCAGCATGCGTGCCTGGGTGCTAGGCACCATCGCAGGCCCCTCGCACAGGCACAACACCATGCTAAGCCTTGTGTGCGTGTGCATATGCATGGAGGGCACCGCAGCAACAGCAACATGCGAGTGTATGCGAGGAAGAGCTAGCAAGCAGCACCAAGCCTAGCATGCGTGGCTCGCTAGCAGCACATATGCTAGGCCTTGCGTGCGTGAGTGCGCTGGCTGGGCTATGCGTATGATGGCCTGGCTTTGCTGGCTATGAGATAGGGCGTGTGCGTGTGCGATGGCGAGAGAGGAAAGGGCCAACACCAGCGCTAGCAGCTAGCAGCGCCTGGCACTGGCACGTAGCAGTAGCACAAGCATCGCCCAGCGCCAGCACGCATTGCCTGGCTGGGATGTGAGGCTGCCGGCTGGGCTGGTGCTAGCTAGTTGGGCTAGCTGGTACTGCTAGCTGGTGTGCTAGCTGGCAGCAGCCCAGCAGCCCTTGCTTGAGGCGGTTTTGTGGTGAGTAGGGACCATTGCTTGGAGCAATGGCTTGGGGATCAAGGCAATGGTCCCCCCCAAGCCTTTGGTCCTCACCTAACTCTCTCTCTCTCATTCACACTTGTTGCATTGTGATTGATTTAATTATTAATTTATTTTGGAAATAAATTAATTATTAAAATTATTCATTCTTCCACATTGGTTGGAAAATCAAGTTCAAGGGTGCATTTCCCTATAAATACCAAAGGCATGGGTATTGGGAAAGATACAACCTTGAGTGGAATTAAAACGAAACTCTTGATTTGAGTAAACCTTGATTCGTAAAACTCATAGTTTTATTTGTCCAGGTCTCGACTAACCTTCGAGACTTTGGAAGCTTGGGTCGGGTTCGAGGTTACGATCCCGTTGGAGACCTCGTATTTTCGGGGTTCAAGTAAGAGCTCATTGTTGAGCGAAGCACGCGTCAAAGGTATAATCTTTTATCCTTTCTTGTGTTTCAATTTTGTTTTGCTTGTTAATTGCATTTATTATGGGAGCGGGTCTTGGCGGGTTTCTTTCCGCGTAGTGAGGGTCACTACGAAACCCAACACTAAGCCATCAAGGGTAGTCTTGTCATGTTGCGAGAGCCGAAGGACACATTATGAACAAAACGGAAGAGGAAGTTGTGGATATCATTGAAAATGTAGTGAGGCATTACATGGGTTTCCAAGATAGTAAGTAAGAATCAACATGCAAGAGTGGCTCTACGGTTTATTCTGTTGATCACCTCAATGCTAACAACAACTTATCCTCACAAATTTCAAATCTAGGGAAGGAGAGTGCTTCATCTCTAACACCTACTCTTCCCTCTCAAAATAAGGGGAGAGATACATCTTCCAACTCTACTCCTCTTTCTACTTCCAATAACATGCCTAGCGGATGCTTGTTTTGTGATATATCTGGTTTGTATGAGCATGATTCTTCTAATTGCTCTCATGCTTTTTCAGATGGATATGATGATTTTGATAGTAATGAGAGTGATCATGTGAATTATGTGTCTAATAACAACAATGGCTCAAGGTTTGATAATCAAAGAGGCCAAGGGAATAGGAACTATAAGAACCAAGACAATTTTGACAACTATAACCAAGGTAGTGGTTATAGGAGCCAAGGAAACCAAGGTTTTCGGTGTAACTGTAATAACCAAGGTTATAGTGGAAAAAACCAAGGCCAAGTTATGGTCATAATAATCAGGTTATGGTAACCATAATCAAAGCTATGGCCAAATTCAAAATAGGGGTAATTGTAACAATCAAAATAGGGGAAATTTTCAAAACGATGCTCAAAGGGGTCCCACACCCGATTTTTCTCCAAAGACCCAAGGTCAAGGTGATAATTCCTATGCTCAATCTTATTTTCTTCTAATGTCTAATTTGGAATATATATTTGAAAATAAAGCCAAGATTTTGAACACATACATGACGGTTAGTGATAAGAAATTCAATGAAATGATGACACATAGTAAGATACTTAAAACTCAAATCACTGAACTACCTAACACTTTGAAACAGAGTACTAGTTCTACTTCTCTACCCTCTCAAGGGATTGAACCTAAGAAACCGGACTATTCTATCACTACTAGGAATGGTAAGATCCTTGAAGAGAGTGTTTCTAGGAAGAGTCAAGAAGATGAGAAGGTGAGTGATTCATTCAATGATGATGAGCATGATGTGTCTTGCAAAAAGTGTGAGGTTTCTAATGAGAAGGTCAAAATCGGAGAGAGTGTGCAAAATGATGTGATCAAACCCAAACTTCCCTATCCACAAAAGTTCTTGAGGAGCAAGATTGATGATCAATTTGGAAGATTTCTTGACATCCTTACGGAAATTCATCTTTCTATCCCTTTCACCGATGCTTTAAAACAAATGCAAAACTATTCTATGTTCCTTAAGGAAATCTTGAGTGGAAAAAGAAAGTGTAATGAGGTTGACTCGGTAAAGGTTGGGGAGTGTTGTAGTTCTCTTATCCACAATGACCTATCTAAGAAGATAAAAGATCCGGGCAATTTTTCAATACCTTGCAACGTCAATGGAAAAGTGTTTCAAAATGATCTTTGTGACCTTGGTTCTAGTGTTAGCATAATGTCGTATTCCGTCTTTAAAAAGGTTAAACTAGGCGAGCTCCTCCCAACCAACATGACCCTATAATTTGCCGACCGTTCTATTAAGTTCCCCAAGGGTAGAATGGAGGATGTCCTCCTCAAGGTAGGAGAGTTTACTATCCCCGTTGACTTCATTGTGCTAGAGTTTTCGGAAGATGACAACATTCCTATCATTCTAGGGAGACAATTCTTAGCAACTTCAGGTGCCTTGATAGATGTGAAGGGTGGCATTATTACCTTGTGTGTTGGTAATGAATCAGCTAGTTTCAAGCTTAAACCTATGCATGAATCCCTTTCTTTTATGCAAGGAATTATGTGCATTAATTCGCTTCATTTGAATGGCATTTCTTGCACTCTTTCGTTGTCTACTAATGATGTCATTGAATGTTGTGACAATGCTTCTATAAGCATTGATAGCAAATTGGTTAGTGATGGCAAGAAAGAAACCTCATGGCTTGAGGATATGATTGAGATGCCGGATTGATTTAAACTTGCTTTGAATGATGAATTGAGTATTGGCATTGATGGTAAGGAGTTTTTTTTTCCCCGAGAAAGAAGAAAACAAAGAAGAGAAAGAGAATTTCCAAGAAAAAGAAAGAGAAGTTGAATCATAACAAGTTTGATCCGGTTTTTATGTGGAAGATGATATTACTCATGATGTGGTTTTGCCTAAGCTTGGAAATGACTTTTCTTTCTCCACCACTTTGAACAAGGTGGTTTTCTTTGACCCTCCATGATTTGGAGGTAGGGTCAAGCTAAGGAAGTTAAGAAAGCGCTTTCTAGGAGGCAACCTAGCCCTCTAACTTTTCTCTTTTCATTTCTCTTTTCTTATCTTCTATTTTCTTCACTTATTTTTTTGTTTGTATTTGAAAGGTGTTTTCATGTGATTTGGATTCTTTTGATTGAGTATGAGCATCATTTGGAGGGGTGTTAGGTGTTTGTAATGAGAGTGTGCTCAATATTCTTTGATTTTGAGCGAAGTGATGGAAGGTAAATGCAATGAAGAATCCTAGAACGAGGTTTTAATAAGAAGTAAGAGGCATAACAGGGGTGCGCGGGCATGTAGATGGAGTGTGCGGGCGCTCCAAAGAAATGCCGAGAGCAAATCAGCAGCGCGACTCACGCGTGGGCGTGCAGGTGGCACGCGCGGGCGCGCACAAGCTCTGCCGAGGTTTTTCCTTTCTTCTTTCCTTTCTTTTTCCTCATTTCTCATTGTTTTAACTTTCTACTTGTACGATTTCTCAGTCCAAACATCAAACCCTAACCCTCAAATTTTCCCAAACATCATCCTAATCCACAAATTTCCCACACAAATCCATCAATTCATACACAATTCTCCTCAAATTTACCATTTTCCATACTACTACTCGCCATTTCTTCTTCTTCTTCATGCTTCAATCTCCATTGAAGAGCAAATTAGGTAATTTTGAATTTTGGTAATTTGGTGCTCCAAACTTGGTTAATCTCGCTTCTTGTATGGTATAATCATCTTCTCTTCTCTTATTTTAGCTTGCTTTATCATATATGGATGAGAATTGATCATTTCATACTTGTGAATAGTAGTAATATTGATTTTGGGTATTTTGATGATTGCATTGATAATGTTGATTCTTGTGGTTATTGTTTACTAATCATTCATGTTTAAAATTTGTTGTTGTTGATTGTTTAGTATTATTGTTCATCTTTGGTGACACTTTGGTGAAGTTTTGAAGTTGGTCTCGTCTCCTTATAGGGGTGATTGTAGTAGTAGTATTATGGTGGTTGGTAATATTGGTGTTGGTGGTGCTTGTGATTGTTAAGTTGAGTTGTTTTGTTTTCATCTTTGTGGATTAATCATGTCAAGAATTTTGATATCTTTGTCTTCGAATAGAAGGAAGGGGAAGGAACCCCAAGTGAGGATTAAAGAGCCCCGGAATGAACCTCAAACACAAAATTCCAATGAACCCTTACCTCTAACAACTCTAAAATTCCAAAACCCATTGCACAAACAAATTCACGTCGACATCAAGAAGAGTTAGACCCTCCCGCCATTATCATAGAGATGACATGAACAAATTAGGCATAAATGAGGATTTGAGGACGCTTTTTGGAAACCATCGGATAGGCACATTTGTAAATTCCGCCTACCGAACATATGTCGAGCCCACAAGCGAGTTTCTAGCTTCTTTCTCTACCACTCCAATTGGCGTCGCTGACTTTCAGATATCATTCCAACTTTTCAATGTCCCTCACACCCTTTCCCTCAGAGAATTCAATGAGGCCCTAGATTTAACCCCAATGCCGATCTTCTATTCCCCGGGCATGAACATTTCAATGGATATGCGGAGTTTGCTTGGTGGAATGCAACTTAGGGGATGGAGCAATTTACCGCTCGCTACTCTTTAGCTAGTGACATTTACCAACCATGTCTTCGTGTTTTACAATTGCTTTTGGGTTATTCGGTCTTCCCTAAGAAAGATTAGGGTAAAATGTCCAAGATTAAGTTAATGGTTCTTTGGTTAGCAACATGAGAAACATGGCGAGGGAGGTTGAACATGGGTAATCTCTTCATGAGGAGTTTTGTATCTGTGGTGGGAGGAAGGAGAACGTGCAAGATTACTTGTGGGAGTATGGTAACTAGGTTGGCTTCAAGGCTTGGTTACTCCCGCTACCTTGCTTCATGCACTCCTGTTGGTGATGCAAACGAAATCTACTTCGACATCCCTCAATTTAAGCAAGTTGATTTGTTAGTGAGGGATGAGCATCGGTGCTATCTCCCGAACCCTTATTTAACCTCTTTGCATAGGGATGCTCTGAATGTTTGGTTTGTGCCATTGAGCAACCGGTTACTAGGTTTTGAGGAGGAGGATGAGTATGATGATAATGATGAACAAGAACGACGACGACGAAGATGACGACAACATCAAGGCTCCAACAAGGATTTGGAGGCTTTGCAAGCACAAATGACGAGCTTGAAACTTTGCTTGAAAGGCATATTCGAACAAGATTTGGTGGCTATGCACACGCAAATGAAGAGCATGCAAGTATGCATGCGAGGGATCATGGAGATGTAACAAAGTATGTTTCTCCAACAACAAGCTCTCACCCCGCCCCCCTTGAGTTGCCCCCATAATATACTCCCTTGACCTCTTGGCAACAAGACAACTTTCGAGGTCATTATGGTTGGCCACCGGGTTATACTAGGGGATAGGATCCCTATGGACCCCCGTCTAGCTTTCCTATGAGAGGGAGGATGATGAAGGTGGGGCCGGTCCTAGTGACCAACGGTCCCTTAATTGTATTTTTTCCTCCATCCCTTTATTGATTGATACTTTGCATTGTATGATGGAATGTTAAGATGATCTCTTTCAAGCTTGGGAGGACTTTTCTTCTTTGTCTATGGAGTGGTGTGGGTGTCTTGAGCGTGCTTGTTATAGATATGTATGTTGTCTTCTCGCCTTGTTGTGCATGTGCCTTCTTTTTGCCCTTGAGGATCTTGTTGGTTGTTGTTTTGATGATGATATTTTTTGATGATTCTTGATGTTTTGATTTTTGATGAGTATCCTGATGATGGTTCTTAGTTTTTGATTAATTTTTTATGTTGACTTGAATAATGATGATTGTGCTTCCTTTCAATCCAAATCCCATGAGTCTAAATCCCTATAATCCAAATTTTTTCTAGTTAGTGTATAGTTTTTATTTTGTTGATTTTGTTTTGAAGTTACTAACATTTTTCTTTATATATAGCCTATTACTTCTTGGAGCAACATGGGGGTGTAAGCTTATCTATGCTTCTTATATAAAGTCTAGCTTGGATCGCTTGGTTAGATTTTTCTACTTTTCCATCTTTATTTTTCTTTGTTGTTTGCTTAGATTAGGAATAGTTTAGGAAGAGTTGAACAGTTCGAGGATGTTGGATATCAACACTGTAACGCTGTTTGGGGTCATTGGCGTTGTAGTCGAATGCCCACTTGTTTGTCGATTGGGATTTATTTAATTTAGCATGCATCTTTGCGCTTTTCTTTTACTTTTCCTTTTCTTTTTATTTTCTCATCTAATTTCTTCTCTCTTTTTATTCACTTTGAAAATGAATAAAAATCCAAAAGTATATTTTGTTTGAGGCATTGTTTTGTTTTTCTCGTTACATTCGCTTATGAATTGGACATAATATCATTTGGACTTAAATATTTGAATGAATGACTTCCTATATGATAATGGTGTGCATGGTTGGAGAATATGCTTGGTTGACCCTACGATAGAGTATGCCGAGAAAGTGTGTTTAGAACTTTTGGGACCTTGACGCCCTAGTCTACTTGTTTGTGGTAATAAGGTGTTGCTTCCTAGAGTAGATTTGAAGCTAATAGTGAGTTATTGTTGCAACCTTGTGAGGAAGCTTGATTAGGGGATTTTTATCCACCAATCACCGTCTGACAAGTGGACCAACCAGGTTCCGCCGCGTGTCCTTCACGTAGGCCAATAGGAGCCTGCCACGTGTCAATCACAGATACGTCCTCTACGGACCAATTGAGACACGCCACGTGTCCACCCATGCCAAATGGGAAAACCGGCCAACAATGCCCAATCCTGTTTAGAGGCCCGGTCAGCCCTAGGTTTACCCTAAACCTAAAGAGTGGCACGCTTCTCAAGACTATAAATACTTAATTAATCCTCATTAAGAGGGGAGAAGAACAGAACGGAAACGTTACGGAACACACTAATAACCGGCTGATCTCGCTAACAAAGCAGATTACCAACATTAAACACTCTCACCTAGAGAGACCTTATTACTTTAATTTCCGCACTTATTACTCCTTAATCAAGTACTAACTTGACCGTTGGAGGCGGAGCTCTCAGGAGTCTCCGTTATTTTGCAGGTACAGGCGTCCGGTTCCAGTATCGGAATTGTAACTCTCCCGCAGGACATCAGAAGACCCCGAAACATTTGGCGCCGTCTGTGGGGAGAGTACTTCAGAGATGGCATCCAAGTCTGTACCGAATCCTGAAGAGAGGCGTCCCCTAAACGACCCTCAAGTTCAGTCGGACCATGACACCGAAATTGAATTTGAA